AAGAAGAAATGACAACATTGAGAGGTCCTAGTAGCTGGAAAAAGGATGGACTGATGTAATTGATACCCAACAAATAGAGCTGCTGGAGTAGATAGACAACTTAAAACAAGAATAATTCCAATAAGAATTGAACACAATAAAATAAGAATGTAAGGAGATTCAAGTACAGCACCAAACTGCTTTATGGAACTAAATAAAAATGGAATAATTAAAAAGAGAAAATTTTCTGGGTAAATTAAAGAAGAGTGTGGTCACTGTCAAGAGCCTAGTCAGTGGCTTGGAAGACCACATGGAAGAAATATCTTAAACACAGAGCAAAACGCCAAAAGAAGAAAATTATGAAGGAAAAAAAAATTAGTCTGGGAGTCCCAGGAGACCTGACATGAGAATAATAGGGGGTTTGGGAAGAGTAGGGGGGAGGCATTCAGGTCCCTTCTAACCAAAAAATTCTCCCTGCTGTAATTACCCCTCTCTCTTTCTCCCTCTCTCTCTCCCTCTCTCTTCAACAGTCAAAATTCTAGAAAAGTTGTTTATGCTCTGCTGTGCCCACTTCCTCCCACCCCCTCACTGCTCAGTTACTATAGTCTCATTTCTGCCTCCAACACACCCAGGAATGGCTCAGTGTCCCAAATGCTTCCTCAGTGCTAAGGATGGAGGCTTCTCAATCTATTCTAACTTGACATTTGGGTCACAGTTGACTCCATTAGTCCTCTTTTCTTCTTTTTTTAATAATCAAGTATTTTTATTTTATCCAAGTTTTCCAGGTTTATTTTTTTCCAGGTTTATTTTTATTTTTTCCAGGTTTTGTCCAGGTTTATTGGCACTTCCTTGCTCCCCAGTCTCCCTGCTCCCTGTTTATAATTAACAGATAAAAGTTGTACAGCATGATGGTTTGATCTACATATGCATTATACCCTCTACTTCTGGAAGCTTTCTCTTCTGTTGGTTTTCTTGGTACTGCACTATCCTATAAGGGCGATCAACTGATCCCAGTTTGCCCAGCATTTTCCATCTTTAGCACTGAGAGTCCCATGTCCCAGGAACCCCTCCATCCCAGGCAAACCAGAACCACATCACAAGCCCGTCTTCTCCTGTTCCAGAGTGTCTCAATTTGGGTTCACCCAAGAGCAAACACCGAGACAAGGATTCAAGTGTAAGTAGTTTTTTGGAGGTGATCCCCAGAAACACCAGCAGGAGGATGAAGAAGTGAGTCATGGAAAGAAAGGCAGCCAGTACAAGATGTGTTCAAAGATGTGTTATCGAGGGGCCCCTGGGTGGTTCAGTCGTTAAGCATCTGACTTCGGCTCAGGTCATGATCCCAGGGTCCTGGGATCGAGCCCCACATTGGGCTCCTTGCTCGGCGGGAAGCCTGCTTCTCCCTCTCCCACTCTCCCTGCTTGTGTTCCTTCTCTCACTGTGTCTCTCTCTGTCAAATAAGTAAATAAAATCTTTAAAAAAAAAGATGTGTTACCGAACAGGCTACCACTGTAGGCGATGGAAGCTTAATCCCAGTGGGGACCTCTGGGTGAGCACAGGGACACACTTCAAACTCATCTCATCTGAGGGGTGAGGGAGCTGGGGTATGTGTACACTAAGTCTAGGCTTTGGCTGAGAGCCCTTCCAGAAAGCGTTTCCCTGCTAGCCCTTCTCACCTGCCATGTGCCAGACCAGGAAGACTTTGGTGGAAGTAGCTGAAAATATGAGGATCAAGGATCTAAGTAGGCCATGACCACATCTCCTGCACACAAGATTCCATTCTTGAACTTCAGCAAGAGTTCATGAACCACATAAATCTAAATGTGTTCAGGGGCACCTGGCTGGCTCAGTCAGCAGAGCATACGACTCCTGATCCCAGGGTCGGGGGGTCAAGCCCCACACTGGGTGTAGAGATTACTTAAAAACAAAAAAATTTTAATAAATAAATAAATGTAAGGGGGTACCTGGGTGGCTCAGTCAGTTAAGCATCTGACCCTTGATTTTGGCTCAGGTCATGATCTCAAGATCCTGGGATCAGGCCCCGTGTCAGCTCCAAGCTCAACAGGGAGTCAGCTTGAGGATTCTCTCTCTCCCTCTGCCCCTCACCCTGCTTGCATGCTTTCTCTCTGTCTCTCTAAAATAAATAAATCTTTTTTAAAAATTTTAAATAAATAAATGTGTTCATAAGCATTTTTTCTTCCTCAACTCTAGGTATTAATAACTCCATCTTTCCTGTTGATTAAGTTGAAAACTTTAGGGTAATTCTTTACTCCTCTCTTCCTCTCACACCCCACATTTGATCCGTCTTCAAAATAGATTAATTTTCTTCCTAGCTGGTCCCTTTTCTCTCTCACCTGCATTATCATAATAGCCCCAGGAGAGCCACACAGATTATTATCAATAGACCCAGAACTCCATTCCTAGTCCCCTACCTCAGCCCAGGATGTCTGTTCCACCACACCACTCAGGTCCCTTCCCATAAGTGCCAGCCAAGATAAGAACTACAAGGTTGGGGTCCTCAGGGATAATTCAGGTTTACAGACAGTCCCTTGAAAGGTGGCAGGTGCTACAGAAAGAGATCAACCATTGGAGGCACAGATTGAGTCCAAATATCAGCTCTGCAACTTATCCACTCAATGACAATGGGCAAGGCTCCATTTCCCCAGCTATAAAATGGGGTTGGTAATTGTTCCAACCTCACAGAGTCATTGTGAAGATTCAGTGGGAGCTACTGTTTCTATCTAGCACACAATACATGCTTGATAAACTGTGGGTTTTGTTCTTTTTATTCACCAAGAATGCCCAACCTGTGCTCCCCTGGACCCAAAGTGGTAAAGGGGACCTCCTTCACACTTATCTCTCTACCTAAAATTAGACAATCATGAGAGATGTGGAAGGGAGATAGGTTTGAGACAGCTCCACTGTGGAACGCCCCCAGCGTGACTCAAAGACGTGACCACAGCTCCATTTCCCCATTTTTTAACACACTGGGGGAAGCTAAAGTTTCCTCTTCTGAGATGCAGAAACTTCCCCTGACCCAGATAAACAGTCACTTGGACCAATGATCCCTGGGTAGAGGGCTTAGAACAGGATGCCCACCCACTCTGCAGTCTATAGGCTACATGGTGGGCTGGTTCCAGTAGTGGTGAGTTGGGGCAGGTGTGGTGGTGGGAGGAGACAAGTAGAGATGGGAACAGGAAATGAAGTGAATGCTAACCTCCCCCACTGCCCCTCTGCTTGGAGCCTCCTTGCCATAATCACCTGCTCTCTTGCAACGACATGGATGGAACTGGAGGGTGTTATGCTGAGTGAAATAAGTCAATCAGAGAAAGACATGTATCATATGACCTCACTGATATGAGGAATTCTTAATCTCAGGAACAAACTGAGGGTTGCTGGAGTGGTCGGGGGTGGGAGGGATGGGGGTGGCTGGGTGATGGACATTGGGGAAGATATGTGCTACGGTGAGCGCTGTGAATTGTGTAAGACTGTTGAATCACAGATCTGTACTTCTGAAACAAATAACGCAACATATTTTAAGAAAAAAGAAAAAGAAGAAGATAGCAGGAGAGGAAGAATGAAGGGGAGTAAGTCAGAGGGGGAGACAAACCAGGAGAGATGATGGACTCTGAAAAACAAACTGAGGTTTCTGGAGGGGAGGAGGGCGGGGGGATGGGTTAGCCTGGTGATGGGTATTGAGGAGGGCACATTCTGCGTGGAGCACTGGGTGTTATGAACAAACAATGAATCATGGAACAGTACACCAAAACAAATTATGTAATATATGGTGATTAACATAACAATAAAAAAATTTTTTAAAAATCACCTGCTCTCAGTCAATGCAAGGATTCTGCTACTCATCAAGGGTAGTTGTTGATCAATAAATTGATCAGTTTGGAGAATGTCTACCTACCTTTGGATACAATTCAGGGATTGTCCAAAGGGATTGCCGTGTTGTGTTGTGTTCAGTTGCAGGGTAGTACCAGCCCCCTAGGGGGTGCTTTTCATTGTCATAATCACTGGAGGAACATCAGTCAGTTAGTGGGTATTAAAGGCTGAATTGCATCTCCCCCAAAATTCGTGTTGAAGTCCTAACCCCCAGTATGTCAGAATGTGACTGTATTTTGAGGTAGGGTCTTTGAAGAGGTAATTAATGAAAATGAAGTCATTACAATGGGCCCTAATCCAATATGGTCTGTGTCTTTATAAAAAGAAGAGATTAGGACACAGATACACACAAGGGGAAGTCCATGTGAAGACACAGGGAGAAGGGGGTCATCTAGAAGTCAGAGATGTCTCCCCAGAAACCAACCATTTCGACACCTTGATCTCAGACATCAGCCTCCAGAACAGTGAGACAATAAATTTCTCTCATTTAAGCCAGTCTATGGTGTTTTATTATGGCAGCCCCAGCAAACCAAGACAGTGGTCAAGGACCACACTGCGAACTGACATCCTGAGTTCTAATATTGCAAGAGCTAATAGCCCAAGAAGGTCCGCTCAGAAATGAACCACATCTCCAGTGAATCACCTGCTACAGACTGAATTATGGGCCCTCACCCAAGTCATTTGTTAAATCCTAACCCACAATGTGATGGGCCTTTGGGAGGTGATTAGGTCATGAGGGTAGAACTCTTGTGTCCTTATAACAGGGACCCTAGAGAGCTCTCACTCTTTCCAGCATGGGAGAACACAGCAAGAAGATGGCCATCTGTGAATCAGAAAGTGGGCCCTTGTTAGACATTATGCCTTGATCTTGGACTTTCCAGCTTCCAGAATTTCAATAAATAAACCTCTGTTGTTTATAAGCCACTCAGTTTACAGTTTTCTGGTATAACAGCCTGAACAGACAAAGACACCATCCGACTGAACAAGTCCACGGGGCTCCTGGGTGGCTCAGTCGGTTAAGCGTCTGCTTTCAGCTCAGGTCATGATCTCCGGATCCTGGGATTGAGCCCCGCATCGGGCTCCCCGCTCAGCAGGGGAGTCTGCTTCTCCCTCTGCCTCTGCCCCTGCTTGTGTGCACTCTCCCTCGCTCACTCTCTCTCCCAAATAAATAAATAAAATCTTAAAAAAAAAAAAAAACCAAGCCCTCAAATCCTCACCCTAGAAATGCTCTCATTGCACCCAAGGGGACTTGCAACATCCAAGCTCCTGGTTCCATCTTAGGTATATCCATGTCAGCTCATGGAGAGGCAGAGTCTTCCGTGGAAGGGCAGAAGTTTCTCATCCCAAGAGCCAAGGAGCACTGGGTATGGACCCACACCCACCCTCAACTGTAAGTTTCAACAGGAACATTTCCTCTCACAGATCCAATATGTAGTCTTGTCACAAGAGAGGTCATTCCAGGTGCCACCTTTGTTCATGCTGGCACAGTCCTCATCATAGATGTTGTTGGGTTCCTCTGGGTCCCAAAAGCTGGAGGGAGGAAAAGTGGGCATGGGGAGGGATGAATAGGTGGAGCTCAGGGGTTTTCAGAACATTATATGCGATACTGTGACAGTGGATACATGACATCATACATTTGACAAAACTCATAGAATGCACAGCACTTGGAGTGAACCCTAATGTAAACTATGGACTTTAGTTCATAATAATGTATCTATATTGGTTCATCACTTGTAACAAATGTGCCACACAGAATGCAACAGGTTAATAATAGAGGAAACCCGATGTGCAGGAAAGAAGGAGTATATGAAACATTTCTCTGTACCTGCTGCTCAAATTTTCTGTAAAAAATAAAGTCTTTTAATTAAAGAAAGAATATGGAGGGGGGAGAGAAGGCAAGGCCTTCGTGGTTCAAGGCTCTTCCATCCTAATCATTTCTTCAGCTTTTCAGAATTACCTGAAGCTGCCACATTATCCCCTTCACCCCAGCTTGTCTGCCTTAACTCAGCCCCACCTCCCCGTTCGCCAGGACAGTCTCCTGCTCCTAAATCTGGTCCGTTTCTGACTCCTCTTACAAAGAACCCTTCCTTCGCCCCTGCAATCCTCCCAACCTTCCAGGTATTAGAGTGTCTTGGATCACATTCCCTTAAAGCAGAGCCTGATTTGGCAATTCAGGTGCGTGGAATTTATTAAGAGATGCTCTCAGGAGAGAAGGAGTGGGAGAAGCAGGTTGGGGCAGGGGGAGGAGTTGAGCAGAGATGTGGGTTCAGTCTGGTCTAGCCTCAGCCTGATGCGACAGGGAGCTGTGGAGTATGAATAACACCACAGAGTTATCTCGACTTGTGACAAGGGATCCAGTCTTCTCTCAGCCACTCATTGGCTATGGGCTGACCCCACTGGGAGTGGACTAACCTTCGAGCTGAGCAGGTCTCCACTGAGCTGAGGACAACTCTCCAGAGAAAGCATAACCGTGAGCCTTTAGCAGTCAGTGCCCCCTACTGGAGGAGGGCTGCACCAACCCCATGAAGGGGTCTGAGCTGAGCACCACACTAAGCCACGCCTTCTCTATTCACAGAGCTGTGCCTTCTTCCAGGAATCTTTTTTTTATTTTTAAGATTTATTTATTTATTTATTTATTTATTTATTTATTTATTTATTTCAGAGGGAGAGAGAGATCATGAGCGGGAGGGGCAGAGGGAGAGGGAGAGACAATCTCAAGCCGACTTCACGCTGAGCGTGGAACCAACAGGGGGCTGGATCTCACAACCTTGAGATCATAACCTGAGCTGAAATCAAGAGTCATTTAACCAACTGCACCACCCAGGTGCCCCATTCTTCCAGGAATCTTTAATAAAAAATGAGATCCCTAGCCTGGTGATGGGTATTAAACAGGGCACATTCAGCGTGGAGCACTGGGTATTATGCACAAACAATGAATCATGGAACCCTACATCAAAAACTAATGATGTAATGTATGGTGATTAACATAACAATAAAAAATTTTAAAAAATGAGATCCCCTGTCAGGACACTAATATCTCTAATATATAAAGAGCTCTTAAAAATAAATAAGAAGGGATGCCTAGGTGGTTCAGTCAGTTAAGCGTCTGCCTTAGGCTCAGGTCATGATCCCAGGGAGCCCCATATCAAGCTCTCTGCTCTCGCTCTCCCTCTGCTGCTTCCCCTGTTTGTGCTCTCTCTGTCAAATAAATAAATAAATACAATCTTTAAAAAAAGAAATAGAAATGGGGTGCCTGGGTGGCTCAGTTGTTAAGCATCTGCTTTCCGCTCAGGTCACGATCACAGAGTCCTGGGATCGAGCCCTGCATTGGGCTCCCTGCTCCGCGGGAAGCCTGCTTCTCTTTCTCCCACTCCCCCTGTTTGTGCTCCCTCTCTCGCTGTGTCTCTCTCTGTCAAATAAATAAATGAAACCTTTTTTTAAAAATAAAAAAGAAGAAAATCTCAATATAAATATATACCAGTGATATGAACAAACACTTCACAGAAAAGTTAATACCTGTGGCTATTAAACATATGAGAAGATACCCAATCTCAGTCATTATAAGAGAAATGCAAATTAATATTATATTGTGATTTCATTTTCACTTACAATTAAGCCATCAAAAATTACAAAAGTTAGATGAACTTTTGATGAAGAAAAATAGCCAAGCCAGTGAAAGAATAAATTGGTATAACCACTATGGGGGGCAATTTGTTAACATTTACCCAAATATAAATACATGCACTCCTTGAGAAAGTAAAGTATAAGGGCTAAGAGTATAGACTTTATTTTTTAAGATTTTTTTTAATTTACTTGAGAGAGAGAGCACAGAGGAAGAGTGAGAAGGAGAGGCAGACTCCCTGCTGAGCTGAGAGCCCAACACAGGACTCGATCCCAGGACCCTGGGATCATGACCTGAGCAGAAGGCACATGCTTAACTGACTGAGCCACACAGGCGCTCAAAAGTATAGACTTTAAAGTTAGGTTGGTTGGCACTACCACCTGCTAGCTCTCTGACCCGAGGCAGGTTGGTTAACCTCCCTGTGCCTCAGTCTCCTCATCTTTAAAATGGAGATGACAAAAAATAGAATAAAATAAAATGGAGATGATAATAGTACTTTCCTTATAGGATTATTAAAAAGATTAAACAAATGGGTTAATATATGTAAAGTGCAGAGAGTCAGAGACAGAGAGACAGAGACACAGAGATCCGGTTCATCCTCTTGGCAAATCAAAAGCTTCCTCTTCCTCCTGCGTTGTAGCCACACTTTCTTTCTTTTTTTCCCCCCAGCCATTGACCTGGGGACCTGATGTATTTGAGCAGTTGTGCTAAAAGGAGGAGATGTTGCAATGGAGGAAAGTTTTAAAGATACAGGGACCAGAAGCCCTACTGGAAAAAAGCACCCTTGAGCCTCCTCTATCTGGCCTGGTCTGGGATTCTAGAGAATCTTCTGGCTCGGACTGCACAAAGACCCACAGGGAGCAGAGACCCAAAGAGCCCTCGATACTTGCCTCAGAGTGACAGGTGACCCATCCAGCCACTTCCAGTCCCCTTCATGTTCCCTGTCATTCAGCCCCAGCCAGTACACCCGTGGAGAGCCATGAGCCTTGGCCACAAAGTTCTGCAAGTACAAACTCCATTCAGCTATCAATTTAATTACATCAAATATAAGTGATCTAAAAACACCAATTAAGAGCCAGAAATTGTCAGATTGAATTTACAAAACAAGACTCATCTATATGCTGTCTCCAAGAAATCCACTTGAAAATAATGACACAGATAAATTAAAGTGAAAAGATAGTGAAAGATAAACCATGCAAACATCTGGGCTCAAATCCCAGCTCCGACACTCGCTAGCTGTAAGTGACCACAGGCAAGTTTCTTAAATGTACTGTGCCTCAGTTTCTTCATCTGTGAAGTACAAATAGAATGTACTGTGTACAAATGGTTTTGCTATCTAACCGTGGTAGCATCAAATCATTGCAGTTGCTTACAAAATGCCAATTCTCCTCCACAGGTGGAACTATTTCCCTACCACCTAAAAGCATAGGAGGACCTATGTGACTTGCTTTGTGAGTACAAGTAAGTGGAAGCTTTCAGAGTTGCCCCTTAACTTTCACCATTGGGTTACAGGGGCTGTCTGTTATTTCAGCAGAACATAACCTCTCCTGACTCACACACTAAGTAACAGGGTTGTTGTGAGGATTATGTTAATGTAAGATATAAGACGTTTGGAATACAGCCTGGAGAATAGAAAGTGCTAAGAGATAGCCATTATTATATCTCCAGGTTAGAGAAAAAACTGATACTCAGGATAAGAAACAATCAGGATTTAAACTTAAGTATAGTATGTCCTCTCAACCTTGCTATTAAAAGTCTTAGTGGCTCAAAGGCAATTCCAATTTCTCTCCATCCAGACCAGGGAAGGATATGTGATTCCCACTGATTCTCAAGGGCTTGGAAGGGACAGATCACCTGTTCAGCAAAGCTACTGATGATGACCAAGTGAGAGTAATTCTCCTGGCAGAACTTCCGGGCTTCATCCCATGACTTGGTGGTTGGGGAGAAGTAGTAACACTTTCCCTCAAAGAGTAGCCAACCCTCCGGGCAGGTGACCTTGGTACAGTCTGGGGACAGAATAAGATGCTGTCAGAATGGCCCCAGAGACAGGGTCATGTACATGGTATGCCATATACAGTTGTGCAGGCTGTGCACAGCTCAATTCCAGGGGGCACCATTCAGGCAGACTGCAGTGAGAATTGCCCCCCATGGATTTGTGCAATGTGCCAGCTCTGTCATGCCCCCCATCTCAGGGCAGTTCCCCAAGTCCCACTCACCTAATAAGCCCCGAAGTTCTACTAGGGACTGGTTGGTGTAAGTTCTTATGTGGTCAATGTCCTTCTTCAGGCCAGCTATCCCTGCCGTGCCAGTCACTGTCAGTAGAGATGGGCTGGAAGGTTAGAAACCCAAACCCCCATCTACCCACCCACCCACCACTGACTGCAAACACATAAGACAGAAGCAAATCTGTACCCCCTACTGCACCCTCTTTCTAGTGAGTGCTGCTAGAACTCAAAATGATATGTGCAGTTCCTAGAGAGAGTCCTAGAGTGGCTAAGAGGAGGAACTGATCTCTGAGCCTTGGGGAAGAGTGGAGATGGGGGACTATCTGGAGGAAGATGGTAACTCAGTATCTGTGAGAGGGAGAGGGAGCCTCCAAGGGCAGGGGCCACCTTGGAAGCCAAGCTAGAGAGGCAAGTGTGTTGGGGAAGGCTGCAGTGGTAGAGGTCAAGGCAAACCTCACAGGAGCTAAAGCTCAAAGTAGGATGAGATCTGATGTCCAGGTCCTTGAATGCCAAGCCAAGAGTTTCGTGTTGGAAATGTTGAGATGTTGTGGAGAAAGGGGAACCCTCTTACACTGTTGGTGGGAATGCAAGTTGGTACAGCCACTTCGGAAAACAGTGTGGAGGTTCCTCATAAAATTAAAAACAGAACTACCCTATGACCCAGCAATTGCACTTCTGGGTATTTACCCCAGAGACACAGATGTAGTGAAAAGAAGGGCCATATGCACCCCAATGTTCATAGCAGCAATGTCTGCAATAGCCAAACTGTGGAAAGAGCTGAGATGCCCTTCAACAGATGAATGGATAAAGAAGTTGTGGTCCATAAATACAGTGGAGTATTACTCAGCCATCAGAAAGGATGAATACCCACCTTTTACATCAACATGGATGGGACTGGAGGAGATTATGCTAAGTGAAATAAGTCAAGCAGAGAAAGTCAATTATCCTATGGTTTCACTTATTTGTGGAACATAAGGAATAGCAGGGAGGACATTAGGAGAAGGAAGGAGAAAATGAAGGGGGGAAATCGGAGGGGGAGATGAGCCATGAGAGACTATGGACTCTGAGAAACAAACTAAGGGTTTTAGAGGGAAGGGGGGTGGGGGGATGGGTTAGCCTGGTGCTGGGTATTAAGGAGGGCACGTACTGCATGGAGCACTGGGTGTTATATGAAAACAGTGACTCATGGAACACTACATCAAAAACTAATGATGTACTGTATGGTGACTAACAACATAATAAAATTTAATTTAATTTTTAAAAAAAAGAGTTTTGTGTTGGACTCTAGGCAGTGAGAAACCATCAGTGGGTTTTGAGCAGAACAGTGGCCTGATCTGAGATGTGCAGAGAAGGCATGCACATATAATGGAACTATTTTCAGACTTCAACAAACATGATGAAGGCTGTACCAGCCCAGAAGACTTTGCTACAACTAATGTGTGTATTCCCACTGGTCCCACACAAATGTGCCTTCTTCCAGCTTGACACCCTTCCCTCTTACTCACTGCCATTCCCAGTCCATCTCTAGGTCCAGTCACTTTTACCTCCTAAACCTTTCTGCTCTACCCACTTCTGTTCATCCTCATGGCCACAACTCTCATCCAAGTCACCATTACCTCTCACCTGTCCAACTGCACCATCCTCCTCCCTTGTATTTATGATGTTGCCTCCTAAACACAGGGCCTTTGCATATACCTAAAACCCTCAACCTCTCATGTGATTAATTTTTTCTCTTCCCTCAATAAACTGTAGCACTCTTTCCCTAGGGAAAGATAAGGTCAAGATCCCTAATTAGATTTTTTTTCATAGAATGATCTTCCTTTGGACTGACTATTCATTGAGATTTGGAATTGTATGCTCATTTGAGTGATAATTTGGTAAATGGCTCTCAATACCTGCCTGTGCTGTCCAACAGAAATAAAATATAAACCACATACATAAATTTAAATGTTTTAATGGCCATATTTTTAAGAGTCAAAAGAAGCAGGCAAAATTAATTTACTTTACTTACCCCAATATATCCAAAGTACAATTTCAATGAGTAATCAATATTAAAGATTATTATTATTAATATTGTTGAGATATTTTACACTCTTTTTCTGTAGCAAGTCTTTGACATTGGTGTATATTTCACAATTACAGCACATCTCAGTTTGGAACAACCACACTGCAAGTGCTCAATAGCCAGTGATTCATGGCCACCATATTGAACAGTGGAAGTCTAGACACACATGCACACAAACACACACACACACACACACACACACACACACACACACACTCCACAGGAACAGGAACTGTGCCTGATGTATTCACTCTCCTACCCGTGCCCCAATACCTAGCACAAGGCTTGGCAAAGATGGGATTGGAAGTGGTCTTGGAGTTGGGTTTGAGGGGTCACATTGGGTGTCACTATGGATGGCATGAAGGGACAATTGAAAGCACTCACCATTTGCTTGCCACGCCATCTGCTGAAAGGTTAATATCTTCAGCTCTTCCACCATCTCCTGGTCTATGAGGAAGAATCCATCTTGAGCCCAAGTCCTTCCATGCCCAATGTTCAGTTTCTCCCCATGCCCCATCCTCTTCTTACTCACACTTAATCAGGGTCACAGCCAGACCAGTGCAGCCCAGGAGCAGTGACACCACCACCAGCAGGCACAGGTACACCACCAGTCTCTCCTCCTGGTAGCACCCAGGACACCTGGACTTCTGACTGAGGTGGGTCACTGGAGTTACTGGGGGATGAGGACAGGGACAGAGAGACCAATATTGGTGCTTCAGAGAGTGAGGAAGAGACACTTGAGCCTCTCTCCAAAAGCAGAGGGACAGAGATCTGTGGTCATGACTGTATCACCAGATGGGGTCAGCAAGAGAGGGTCAGGGGAAAAGAACCCTGATGAAGCCCAGAAGAGCACTTACTGTGCTCCAGGGCCACCCCTTCCCCAGATGTAGCCCCCTCCCCATCTCCAAATGAAGCCACACCTCCATCCCCATCTCCACTTCCAAATCCAACACCATCACTGTAACCTAACACAACTACAACCTAACCTAGAATGCTGAAGAGAACTTACTATGTGCCAAGTATCATGTCACATCCTTATTATCTTATTGGATCCTCATCCTTATGACATAGATGTAACTATTATTCCCAATTTGCAAATAAGTAACCTGAAGGCTTGGAGACGTCATGTGTGACTTGGACCCAGCACTGCTCCTAACATTTATAATGCATTATCTTGTATTCTCCAGCATCCCCTGCCCAAGCTGCTCCCCATTCTAGGATGCTTAAGGGCTTTTGCATCAGGGGCAGAGAATGTTTCCCGTACCTTATGCAAGTAGGAGTTGGGGCCTGAAGAGTACCAGGCAGACACCCTGGGTCCCTCAGGGTCTGGTCTAGACTCAGAGAGGAAGAGCTTCTGAAAGGACACTTTTCTCTGCCCCAGGGTCTCCCTCTGGGGCCATAGGTCTGACTCAAGCATACTTGCAATCATGAGAGGGAAGATAGGGGCCCACCTGTAGGGCATGAGGACTTACCAGCTAGGGATGACTGGAACGGAGGATGCTCCAGGTTGACACCTGGGAGAAAGGGAGAGAAAAGTTTATTCAAAAGTTTTTTGGGGGAAAAAAGTTGTTGAAAGACTCTGTCTTCCAAGATCAACACCTCCCCCAACCCATCTGATTTGTTCTCTGGTCAGAATTGAGGAACGGAGGGAAGACTTCCAGGTGTCCCCTCCCAGACTTCTTAAAGGGTCTTCCGGCTGCTCACCCAGTTGAGGAGACGTGCGGGGGACAGGGGTGAGGTCCAGGCCTAGAAGGGGTCAGAAAGACAATAGTTATGCAGACCAGGGCTTCATCCAGGTAAACCAAAAGGCCCCAGCCCTAGATTCTCACCTTTGATCTTTGGGGACTTGCAGGGAAGTGGGGGGTTCTCCATTTTCTTTCCTGGGGGGGAGGGGGAGGAATGGTTGCTCGGGCCCAGAGCAGGACAAAACCAGCACTGGGTCTCCTGTACCCCCAGCCCCAGCTCACCTGCCCTCGGAGGCCTTGGTGGAGCCATTGAGTCTGTAGAAGAGAAGTTCAGAATTAGAGCTGGTATGAGGGTCAGAAACAGACTGGAGGCAGTGATGGAACCAGGACTGGGACTAAAATGGAGGGCTAGGGATAAGGTTGAGCATAAGAATGTAATTGGGGGTAGGGATGGGGTTAATTGGGGGTAAGGATGGGGGTAGACGATGAGGGTTAGGATAGAGTGACCAACCATCCTGGATCACCCAGGACTTGTCCAGTTTTAAAACTGGAAGTCCCACATCCCAGGAAATCACTCAGTCCTGAGCAAACTGGGACAACTGTTCACCCTCAGTTAAAGACACAGGTGAGTTTGGGCTAGGGTTGCAGTCAAGCTGTGGTTGGGATGAGGATGGAATTGAAGATGGGTTGGGGACAGTGGGGGACATGGCATTAGGGTTGTGATTCAGGATGTGGTAGAGATAAAGATTGGGACTGGAGCTGCACTGGAGTAGGAGGAGGAAGTCACAGTTAGGTTTTAGTTGTGTTGAAGTCGGGTGATGACTTTGGATTTGGAAATAAAGATGGGGGTGAAGATTGGGCTGAAATCGGAGATGGGGAGGGGGCTAACTTTGGGGAAGGGATAGCATTGATGATCAGATGGAGGAGTCCATCTTGGTGGTGGGTTTGAGAACTGGATGGGACCAAGTGGGAGCTGAGAGACAGACAAACAGCTGAGCCTAATTCACCTCCTACTTCATTCTGGGCTCCACGGTGCCCAGGGACCTCCCAGGTTGGTCTCACTCCAGATTAAATAGTGGTGGATTCAGCACCCCACCCCTCATGGAATGGCCACTGTCCAAGGACAGCAACACAGCACAGTCAACCCTCAGCGGCCCTAGTGGGAGTTGGCTCAGGGAAACCTCAAAGTCTTCACTTTTTTTTTTTAAAGCCTTCACTTTTATACACACTTAACAGACTCTTGTTGAGTCCTGGGCCTGGCATGGAGCACCCAAGTCTCAAGGTCGATCTGGGCCCAGAGTGTGAATGCGAGGAAGTTGGGGAGCCACTGGTCCACTCACAGTTTTATGAAACACCAGCTTTCGTGTCCCAGGACCTTTGCATCCACCAGTTCTCTACTGGGCTTCTCTTCCTAACAAACTCCAACTCATCCTTTAAGTCCCACTCCAATATCCTCTCCTCTGACCCCAATCTCTCACCGCTCAATTCCCCTTGAGATTTCCCCATTCTCTTGGTCCTTCCCTTCTCAGACCTGCTCACCTGAGGCTGTGCCCAGAACTGCCTCTCCCATCAGACAGAGAGAGCCTCAAGGGCAGGGTGGAGACACAGACACATACTCCTGCCAACATGGTGCCTGGCACGAGCTGGGTACGCAGGAGGCTGACTGGGTGTCTATAATGCCCAGCTAATGTCCCCTGGGGACCCTGCTTTCCCCAGGTTACAGAACACACATTCCTTCACCTGGCCTCTGAGAAGTCCTCTTACCTGGCTTGGGAGGAAGATCCTTGTAAGGTGGCGCCATGTTCTCATAATCATCACCATCTTCCTCCTCCTCCTCCTCCCCTCTGGTCCCTTCCAGAGGAAAGGCAAGTGAGAGCCCAGCCCATTCCCTCCTCTGTCCCTCAGGCCCTAGTTTCCAGCCGCAGGGTGGGGAATACTGTAATCTGGGTCCCGACCATCCCTGGCCCCCAGCTCAAGCCTGGCCAGGGCCATACCTGGCAGGTCCTGGCACCCAGAGTTGGTATACATGTACATGGTTGCAGCTCACCCAGGAGCCTGAGGGCAGAGTCAGAGCTGGACAGCTTCTGCCTCCTATACCTCCTGCTCAGGTGCCTGGGGCTTCTCTCAGTTCCCTTTTTCATCAAAAGTCAAGTACATGCAAATCCACCTTAAGGGGAACCACCCAAACCACATATACACACAGACATTCACACACACACACACACACACACACACCTTTCTCCCAGTTTGGATTCACGCACAGGAGTGACAAAGACAGCAACCCCTGCATTCCAGTGCGAGGCCCTGGGTGGAAAAGATGGATAAACTCCTTCCTTCAAGGAACTTTCCATCAAGACAAGACAGACACTGAACTAGCATAAACATAGAAATAAACAATATGGTTTGGTTTTTTATTTTATTTCCAGTAGTCACTAAGCATTATTTAAAACTAAAATTAAATAGAGTAAGGGGATAGGATAGGGGCTAATGTAGAGTGATAAAGAGGGAAGGCACCCTGGAAGTGACATTTGCAACAAAATGTTAAAATGCTAAGTGCTAAGTACTCCTGCATTCCACAGTGAGGTGCTAGGTCACTGGCCCAGTTATCTCTGACTGCGTAATGACAGCAAGCACTTACCATCTCGCAGTTTCTGTGGCTCAGAGTTCAAGAGCAGCTTGTCTGGGTGGTTCTGCCTCGGGACCTCTCTTTTATACCCACTTATCAGACAAGTAAAGAGGCTCCCTGGGGCTGTGGTCTCTGGCGGCTGTGCTGAGGCTGGAGGATCTGCTTCCAAGATGAAGCACTCTCTAAAAAGGGCTGATTGAGCATCCCCCCAGTGTGGCAGAGGCCACAGTGGAAGCCATTGACCCCTTTTATGATTTAGCCACACAAATCACAAACTATGGTCTCTGCCATTTTTTTCACACGGACCAGCTCAGAGTCATGATGGGAAGCGACAACACGAGGGTGTGAACAACAGGATGTAAGGACGCTGGTCACCACCGTCATATACACAGAACTTGCAAAGGAAGGTTTTTCACCCTGAGCTTGACACTAACTGGAAGTTATTTAAAAAGTGAAAATTAAAGACAGAAGTCTGTTCACCCCATGGGTAAAGCAAGGGGTGAGGTTTTGACTCATAACTCAAACAGCAGAAGCAAAAGCATGGACTTGGGGGAAAGGGCTGCAAGGAGGAGTGGCTGCATTTTTTGGTTTAGCACGGATGTGGGAGTTCCCTGTGAGCCAAGTGAAGGCGGTAGAATAACCAGTCTGGAGCCATTTGGGGAACTCTGCCCATGAAGGCAGCCTGCCTGTGCTTCTCCAGAGGACCGCCATCTGCCTTTGGAGCCTACAATCTTAGAATCATCCATCACTCCTCTCTTCTTTCATTCCATGACTCTGGCAAATTGAATTTTCAAAAGATGGCTGCAACGGTATCTCTTTGTGCTACATGTTCTTATGCAATGTGACCTTGCCACTCCATCAAGAAGTAGAGTCCAGGGGCTGCCTGGGTGGCTCAGTCAGTTGAGCATCTGACTCAATCTCAGCTCAGGTCTACGATCTCAGGGTTGTGAGTTCAGGCCCCACATTGGGCTCCATGTTGGGTGTAGAGCCTACTTAAAAAAAAAATTTTTTTTTTTAATTAGAAGAAGTAGAGTCCAGTTCTCCTCCCCTTGAATCTGGGATGGTGTTAGTGATTCCCTTATAACCAACAGAATGTGGTGGAAGTGAGGCAGCCTCCATCTGGCTCTGTCAGAACACATGCTCCCAGCCGCCATGTTGTGAGGAAGCCCAAGCCACACGGAGGTGACCCACTCAACAGTCCCAGCTGAGGCCAGATTTCAAGTATCCCAGCCCAGGTCCCAGGCATATGAGTGAAGGTACTCCTGATGTTTCCTGACCCCAGGACAGTAGAGTCACCTCCAGCCTGCTAAGTCTTCCAATCTGAAGCTCCAGAACATTGTGGAGTGGAAACCAGCTGTCCCATAGAATCTGTGAGCTGCTGAAGTGATTTTTTTTTTTTTGCCACTAAGTTTGAGGTGGTTTGTTCGATAGCCTAGATATTGGAAATCTGACAAATCTGTTAGAAATTCTGGTTGGCTCTACCTTCGCGATATACCCAGTGTCTGAGCCGGGCTCGCCTCCCAGTCTGACCATCAGCAGCTTTCACTTGGATTACAGTAAGAGCCTCTGCCTGGTCTGCCTACTTATGACCTTGCCCTCCATATAGTGGGACCCATAGAAGCAGACAGGTAGTCGCCCAGGGCTGGGGGAGGAGAAAATTGGGTAGATGTTGGTTAAGGGGCACAAAGTTTCAGTTCTGTAAGAGGAATAAGTTCTGGAGGATCGGTGTACAACAATGTGACTATAGTTAAGAGTATTGTACTGTGTACTTGAAATTTGTTGTCAGGGTAGATCTTGAGTCTTCACACACACACACACACACACACACACACACACATAAAGAAAGCAAGAAAGAAAAAAGGAAAGTGGTAACTATCAGGTGATAGATATGTTGATTGGCCCGGTTGTGGTGAATATTTCATAATGTACATGTATATCAGATCATCAGTTTGTACATTTTAAATAACATGTAATATCTAATTTATCTTAGGGGGAGGGGAAAGAAGTCTGAAATCAAGGTGTTGGCACAGCCATGCTCTTTCCAGAAGCTCTAGGGGAGAATGCTTTCTTGCCTCTTCCAGCTTCCAGAGCTCTTGGCGTTTCCTGGCTGGGGCCACGTCCCTCCAATGTCTGCCTGCATGGTCACCCCACCTATCCCTGTGTGTGTGTCTGTGTCTCAAGCTTCTCTCTCCTTTTTCTGAAGTTTTATACCATCCTGGTGGCTTTGAAGATGAAGGAAGGGGCCACGAACCAAGGAATGCAGCTCTAGAAGCTTGAAAAGACAAGAAAAGAGATTCTCCCACTAGATCCTCTGAGGGAACGTGGTCTTGCTGGCACATTTCAACCCCATCAAGCAATTTGAACTTCTGACCTCGGGAGAACTATCAAAGAGTCCGTTACTGTTGTATAGCCACTGAATTTGTAGAGATCTGTGATGGTAACCATACTGCAAGGGGCAAGACCCCAATTCCCCCTCTAAGGGTCTTTCCGCTAAAAACAAAAGGAATCGCAACTCAAATTGGCCTGAGCAACAAGGAAATCCCATCAAGACTGTACACAAGTTAGAGTATTAGGCTGGGCTACTGTAACAGAAGTTCAGAACAAGAGCAGCTTAAAATAGAATTTCTTGCCTCACAGATCAATATAAGCAACCCACAGTCTCCAGAAGCGGAAAATCTTCACCAGCACATGAGGAAGGAGTGTGACCCAGCCCTAGATGAGGTGGGGGGGGCAACAGACCAGCTTCCCTCTCCAGAGAAAGCTCACCCCAGGGGCTGGGCTTTCCCCTGTTAACACTGCATGATGTAATTAATGTGCAGAACCTCCCCATCCTGCCTGAGGTGTACATGCAGCCATTCCCATTCTACAGATGGAGAAATGGAGACCTCTGAGAAAGAAGGAGCCTGTCTGCTGAGCACACACAGGACCATCAGGCTCCAGATGGATAAGTGGGGTCAGAGGGGAGGGAGAGGACGGAGGTGGGGTTACACCAGCCAAGTGGACTGATAGCATCTCTGCCCATCAAGGGCGCCCCTTGAGGTGAGTGGACCTAGGGCAAGGAAGTGCAGTGATGGCTGGATGGTCTCACTGTGAGGGGGTACTGGCCACAGCCAACGCCATCCTTTGGGACCTGCCACACAGTAGGTGCTCAGGAACTAGTAGAGCAATCCAGTCCCATCAGCTAGATATAACATAAGGCCATGAGCCCAGGCTGACCCCATCTACACCCCATTCTTGCTGTGTGACCTAAGGGGAGTAGAACATCTCTGAGGAAAGGTCTTCTGATATGTCCAATGGGGAGTGGAGATTCAGTTGTTCATTCATCCATTCAATAGATATGTATTGACAACCTACTATGTGTTAAGCTATGTTCCAGGTACCAGGGATATAGTGCTGAACAACAACAACAACAACAACAAAAAATCCCTTGCAATAAAAAGGAAGATCGCAGAATGGAAATCTTACCAAGCATGTTTTCAGACTAGAACCGAATTAAATTAGAAATCACAGAATGATATCTGGAAAATCCACAGGTATTTGGAAATTAAGTCACACCCACAGGTCAAAGAGGAAGTCAAAAATTAAAAATATTTTTAATTGGGGGCAGCTGGGTGGTTCAGTTGGTTGAGCCTCTGACTCTTGATTTCAGCTAAGGTCATGATCTCAGTGTTGTGAGATCCAGCCTCATGTCGGGTTCCATGCTGAGCATGGAGCCTGCTTAAGATTCTCTCTCTCCGGGGCGCCTGGGTGGCTCAGTTTGTTAAGTATCTGCCTTCAGCACGGGTCATGATCTCAGGGTCCTGGGATCGAGCTCCACATCGGGCTCCCTGCTCAGTGGGTAGCCTGCTTCTCCCTCTCCCTCTCCCTCTCTCCCTCTTGTGCTCTCTGCCTCTCTCTCTCTGTCTCAAATAAATAAAATCTTTAAAAAAAATATTCTCTGTCTCCTTCGCCCTCTGCCTTTGCCCCCCGCTCGTGTGTACTCGCTCTCTCTAAAGAAATATGTTTTTTTAATTGAATGAAAGTGAAAGCGTTACATATCGAAATATGTGGGGTGCAGCCAAAGTCGTGCTAAGGAGGCAACATAGGACACTAAGTGCTTATGTTTAAGCAAGTGATCGAGTATATTTGAAAGTTGCTAAGAGTCCTTTTGTTGTTGTTTTCAAATAACACTCTTGGGAACATCTGTTTTTACATGTGTTTCTAGACAATTCTCTACATGCATTACAGAATTGCCTACACATCCATTCAGTAACACAATTCACAACTAGCCAAATAAGGAACACTCATAAAAACATGTCTTTTCCCATGTGTCATTAACTACACCTCTCCATGAATTACAAAATTACAAAATGGTCAGCACATGCTTTGGCTGATGTGATGCTCCTTCAGTTCTCCCTGAACAGTTAACACTTCCAGAGCCATCTTTTTACATATATCTATAAACATTTCCCTACATGCATTACAGAATG